ATATATATATATAAACAATTTTTCAGTTAGCGGAATATGGGTTAGCATAGCTAACTTTTTTGGTTAGCAGTGCTCACCAGCGTGTATGCCCACACACATACACACTGGCATGCAGCCTGAGCTGCCCATTACACTGATGGGCAGCTCAGGCCTGATACCAGTACACAGCTGGTATGTTAGATGGGAACTACTGTAAAAAGTTTGAAGGGGATTCATTAGAAGTTTCCTTTTTCATGGGCTCATATACTGTAGCAGTGCATGCATTGGATTAAAACCTCATTTACAAAAAGGAGAGCATATTACTTTGAAGAGAAGCAGTGTGTTATCCAAATGTGATGCAACACGTTGGTGAACATGACACATTAAATGCTGCTTCCATCAAATTATAAATGAATATGTGGTGCAGTGAACTGACCATTCTCAAAGTCGGACATGCAGCCATGTCGGCACGTGACCATACTGCACAAGGAGGCTCTCATATCAGTTTGTGGGGAAACTTGGAAAAATGGAGAAAAGTTGCTGTGCAAAGGATTGTACTTCTGACATAAAGAAACATCCTGAGAAAACATGTTTAATTTTTTCCAACTGCAAGAGCAAGAATGGAGAAATGAAAACTGCAGCAGACAGGGGTGTCCAAAGACGGATCTTTAAATCCAGGTAAACTTTGGTCACCGCAAAGCAAGCACACATATCTGTTTAACACATTTATTTTATCACTGGTACATATTTTCATCAACAAAGATGTCATTAAAATAATAACTGTTGTTAGCGCTGTGATTTTTAATAATGTCTCAGTAAACAAGTTATAAATCTCACACTGCTGACAAAGTTCAATCTTAGCAGTTTGATATAGAAATTCTTCCACAGACAATTTAATTGACATACCAAGAGCAAAGATCTCTTGAAATAAAGAACTGAACAAAGTTCAGATTAGGTTTTTAATAGAAAGTTTTACATCTTCTCAGGCGTATTCATCAGAGCCACATTTTAATCAGCATTTTATTGTAAATCTTTGCTTTGTTGTTTTTAGGACTGAAGAGTAATGACCAGTGCCATCCACATGTACCATCTGCACCCTGAGCCGAGTGAAGTCAGAACCTGCAAACCCGAGGTGGGGCAGATGCAGGGCAGCCGACTGGGACCTGAAAGTCCCAGGTTCGATTCCGTCATTGCACATCTCGTGGTGTCTCTGAGCAGCACACCCTATCCCCAATTGTTCCCCAGGCAGCTTTCAATAGCTGTGCACTGCTGTAGAGAGCCAATTATATGGACACATACAAAAAAATCTAGTTTTCTTTAAAAATGAACCGAAGTGAGCACACCAAGGGTCTGATTTGACCCCTGGGCTGCCAGTTGAATAGCCCTAATTGTCCTCAACTCATTTTGTATGTTAGCCAAATATCTAATTAACTACTGGACATATTTTAATGAAACATGGAGCAAGGAATCAGTGCATGTACATCTGAAACTGATTAACTTTTGGAGTCAATCTGAATTAAGATGGTGGCAAAAGCTGCTGTAGCACACAGAAAAATACATAAATATCAGTTTAGAGATACTGAGGTGACGTTTGTTTTGGATTTATCTGAAAGTGATACTCTACACATGCTCTGACTGTTAAGAGATGCTACAGTTCTGGTTCAAACTGCAGGACAGGACAGGTCTGAGTGCCCTCCACATTGTTACCTCACATTAGTTCATTCGTTAAGCCTAAACGCCATGTTGCCGCCATCACTACTCGCAGCAGCATCCGCACTTCGTCTCACTGCACCAACGTGTTCTTCCGCATGATAGCTTTTAAATTAGTTATTTTTATTATTTTTAATTTATAACGTATAATTAACTAGAATTATTTTAACCGTAAAATTTATTTTTATTTGTTTGTCTAGAGTGCAAACAGTATATTACAATTATATCGAATTTGCCATATCTGGACCTAGATTCTCTTGAAAACGAGTTCCACCCAATTCGCCATTTTATGTTCAATAGCGGCTTTGTTGTGAGCATGAAAGCAGTTAAGAAAATATTACAGCAACTAACCGTGTTTTTGTGACTTAAACACGTTGTAACGACGTTAGCTTACTAATTATTATTCGACTGTACACAAACTACAGTGAGATTTTTTTTTTAACTGTACCAAGAACGGAAAAAGAAGCTAGCCTTGCCTAAACGTGTCAGCCAACGTGTTTTGCTTGTAGCAACCGGAAAGGACGAGCCGCAGATTTTTCTTGAAGCTGGTACTCGTCAGAAGGCACATTGACGACCACCGTAGAAAACACGGAGACCGAGGAGATGGCGAGCTCAGTGGGGAATGTGGCGGATAGCACAGGTAGGCAAGTGGGGGGAATAATGCCGAAAAATGACAGGAACCTGTCTTTTTAAGTAAATGCTATAACACGAACACCCTGACAACGTAGGCCGAATTTAAATGCTAGCAAAATTTACAAGAACATGGCGTCACTTGAACTCATCCTACGGCTTATTTCTATGTAAACGTCTCGTTTTACTTTACAGCAATGTACGTCTATATATTATTAGTTGAACTCTAGAATACTATTGTGGATTGCGTGCATCTTTAAGCAAATATTCGACCAATCGGTAATGACATGTTCAACCTTTTGTGAAGAAACCGGCCGCCATGATGGCGGAGCCTCCTACTGGTAAAAGTAGCCGGGCAGACATCACGGCCTGGCGCCGACACTGCGGTCGTCTTATGTCTGCTTTTTCCTTTCATGGTGTCCAAAACTGCAGCCGACTTAAACCCAGACGTAGGATTTGAGCCCGATTGTGATCGTGAAATGCACTTCACCTGTACGATATCTTATATTTTAATGTTTGTAGTATGTTTAAAGCTGCCTTCTGCTTTGGTTCATGCTTACGAGCATTACGTAATGTTGAAAAATGTCCATGGCAAGGATTTCATTTTGACATTTACTGGCTAATTTGCTAGGTATTACTAATTACTCCAGTTTATTTCTTCTAAATAACAATAGTAATGTTTAAAATGCTGTGTTATTGACTAGACGGGTAATAATAAAACCATTATTCTTGATTTCTTACAGATATCGAGTCACAATCGATATTCCCTGTTTAGACTGCTGAAATGGGAGTTTTTTGTTTGACTTATAAATTGTGTGTCTTTCTGTTTCATGGCATTTTGAAAGTAATTTCACATTAGCAATGGATAATTATTATTTTGGCTTGCTGATTCTTAAATACAATAATACTTAATGTCATTCTGACTGTACTAACAGTGTGAAACTTTTGGCCAACCCAAATCTTTAGTTATGACTTTTCATAATGGTTCAGTAAATACTTAGACACACACACCTTTCCACAGGAACCTGATTGACAGCAATTTTTTATTGTTTGCATGAGCTTGATAGCGTCAATGTTCAAAAGGGTTTGGGCACGTTGAGTCGGAAAGTTTCAGCAATTTCCCCAACTAACCTGTGTTTTACTTTTAAATACTTTGAAGTGTTATTAAGTGTGTGATTTTCCTGAATGTTTTTGTACTCTTTGTTTGAGCAAGGTTTTTGCAAATGTGACACAAATGAAAATATCTTTTTAAATGTTAAACACAAGGATTGTGTACAGTAAAGGCTTGGCTTGAGAAACACGGGGTAAAGCTAAATACAGTTTGGTATTTTAATGCGACTTGTTGATTGACAGTCTGTTGCATCATTTTAAACATGAAAACAGGATTTCAACAGAATGCCTGAACTTCTCCCTGTGTGTCATCCACCTACCTCCTTGCTTATTCATCTTCTGCTGCATTACGTTTATTCCTTTTTTTTATTTCCAAAATATTTTTTCTTTAAGTTTGTTTTTTCTTTATGACAGTTTTGTTTAAATTTAGATTATGCCAAGTCAGCTACATACTGTTGAACAATGGCAACAAAACAGTTGAACCACCTTTTTTCTCCATTGTCACTGTAGTTGATTAGGAAACCGTAATATTCCCAAACAGCAGACATTCATATTCAGTTCAGTTTATTTATGGAGCACCAAGTCACAACAGTAGTCGTAGCATTCACATACATTGTAAAAGCCACTTAGTAAAAGTTATCAAAGGAAGCCAGCAGATTGTGTTGAATCTTCACTTTGTCACAGTCTCCCATCCTGAGCAAGCACATAGGCAATAGTGGAAAGGAAAAACTCCCCTTGAACAGAAAGAATCCTTCAGCTGAATCAGGCCCTGGACTAGCAGCCATCAGCTTCGATTGGCTGGGGTTTGAGAGGACAGGAAGGAGCAACAAACAGGTCCAGGTGCACTTTCTATTAGAGGATAGGCACCCCCCCCCCCCCCCCCCACACACACACACACACAAAAGCACTTTAAGGGTAGATATACTTCTAAAAAAGTTAAGTCTGGTCCTCTGGACATTCAAAAACACAAAACAAAGCAAATCAACAAAAAAAAAATTTTTTTGTTGTTGATTTGCTTTGTTTTGTGTTTTTGAATGTCCAGAGGACCAGATTTAACTTTTTTAGATTTTTCTACCTGGATTATTGAGCATGCATCAGGATGGTAGATATAATTGTTACAAATACAAACTGGTAAAGTAGAGCAAGTAAATACAGCAGCAGAGTGAGCAAATGTGGTCAGTTTTTCCTCCAGCAGTCTAAAGCCCCCACTATACTCCCGCGTCCATCCGCGCAGAGGTACGTACGTACGCGGAGGGTTGACACTTCATACTCAAGCGTACACCCTAAGCAGCTGCAGAGCAGCTTCGCAGACAAAGGGCGTTTACCTTCGGGACAAATTGAGGTCGCCGATTGGTCATTTGCTGACACGCCTACTGGATTGATTGACAGGTCGAGGAAGAAAAAAAATGAGAGCTGACAGCCGCAGCAGTGTTCTATGTTTATATGTTGTTAATAAAAAGTTCTAAAAAACAAACGGGGAGCGCTGTCCCTGCAGCCCACACATCGGATCAGCCCAACAGGAAATCTCCAAACCCTCCCGCAGCCACGCTGGGACTGATTTTAATTCGCTCATGACAAACTCCTTCATTTCTCACCATTTCAGTCATGGCATCAACGGAGGAGGAAGAGATCTCTTGCCTTTTGGCAAAAAAACAAAAGAAAAGCCAGATCAGAGATGAAAAAGGGGAATTTAATACATTGGTGTCTCATACAAAACAGTCCGTCGCCGGGCAGTTTATTGTCCGACACAGCGTATGCGGTCGTAAAAATTTAGCTTTGCACGGACCTGCCCTGTGGAGGTACGCGCGTACTTCTGGGGCTTACGCCTATATCAGCATAACTAAGGGATAGCTCAGGAAACCCAAGCCAACCCCAACTATAGGATTTATCAAAAAGGAAAGACTTGAGCCTAATCTTAAAAGTAGACAATGTGTCAGCCTCACGGGCAAAAACTGAAAGTTGGTTCTACAAGAGAGGAGCCTGATAACTGAAAGCTCTGCCTCCCGTTCTACTTTTGGAAACCTTAGGAACCACAAGTAAACGTGCAGTCTGAGAGCAAAGTCCTCTGTTAGGAAAGTATGGAACAATAAGATAAAATGGAGCTAGTTTGTAGAGAGCTTTGTATTAGAAGTAAGATTTTGAATCCTGTTCTGAATTTGATAGGGAGCCAATGGACAGAAGCTAAAATTGGAGAAATATGATCTCTACCAACTCTCAACACTGGCAGCAGCATTTTGAATCAACTTAAGACTTTTTCAAGGCAGCGCAACTGCTCAGTGGTTAGCACTTTTGCCTCACAGCAAGAAGGTCCTGGGTTCAATTCCTGGTTGGACCTGGGATCTTTATGTGTGGAGTTTGCATGTTCTTTTCTTGCTTACGTGGGTTTTCCCCAGGTACTCTGGTTTCCTCCCACAGACCAAAAACATGCATGTTAGGCTGCCTTCAGGCCTCCTTTGCAAAAGAGGTCTGTGATCTCAATGGGATTTGCCTGGTTAAATAAAGATTAATAATAAATAAGTTTTTGGACACCCAGATAATAATCAATTGCAATAGTCCAACCTAATGTCCAATCAATGCATGAACCTGTTTTTCTGCATAATTTTTGGACAAGATGTTTCTAATTTTAGTGATATTACGCAGGTAGAGGAAAGCAATCCCGGAAACCGTTTGTAATATGGGGGTTAAGACATAGCCTGATCAAAAATAACACCAAAGGTTTTGTTTTTTTTCACATTAGAACTGGAGGCCAAATTAATGCCAAAGAAAGTGAAAGGCTGCAAAGTTAATTCCTAAGATGCTCATGTCCCAAAACCACAACCACTGTCTTGTCTAAGTTTAAAAGCAGGAAACTAAGGGTCATCCATGTTTTTATGTCTTTTAAGACATGCCTGTAATCTAAGTAATTTATTAGATTAATTGGGTTTCATGGATAAATATAACTGTGTCATCAGTATAACAATTAAAATTATATATATTCCATGCTGTTTAATAACTTTACCAAATGGAAGCATATATAAAGTAAAGAGTATATGTCCAAGCACTGAACCCTGAGGAACATGATGACTAACTTTGGTGTATGAAGAAGATTCATTATTTACATTTACAAACTGTAATCTTATCAAATAAATATGAATTAAACCATTTTAGAGCTGCTCCTGTAATTCCAACATCATATTCAAGCCTCTGAAGTAAAATATTGTGATCAAATGCAGCACTGAGCTCTTAACAGGACCAGTATAGACACCTGTCCGTTGTCAGAGACCATGAGAATATCATTAGTAACTTTCACCGGTGCTGTTTCTGTGCTATGATGAGCTCTAAACCCCATTGGAAACTTCTCAGATGGATTATTTTGATTCAGATGTTCATGCTGAAACTATTTCTCAAGAGTTTTTGAGATGAATGTTAGATTTGATCTAGGTCTATAATTAGACAGAAATCCTGAATCAAGTTCAGTTTTCTTAAGTAAATGTTCAATTACAGCAACCTTAAAGTGCTGTGGTGCATAATAATTTATTAGAGACAAATTAAGCAAATCCAAAATGGGGATATAAATTAGGGGATATACCTCTTTAAATAGTCTGGTTGGGATGGGATCTAGCAGACATGATGGTTTGGATGAAGCTAGAATTTTTGACAATTCAGAGAGCTCAACAGAACAAAAACAGTATAGTGACTTTTCTTAAGTTGCTTCATCTAACAGTGAATCGAAGGCGATAGTAGGAAGGATGGTGTGAATTTTCTCTCATTGAAATATGGATGCACTGATCCACTTTTTTTCACTTCCGATATGATACAGATATCTGCTGTTTAATATCGGCCAATACCGATCTGATACAGAAAAACTGAATTAACAAAAATAGAAAAATCATGTCATCTGGACCCGTTTCTGAAACAAGTCCAGATGACATGATTTAGCCATTTTTGTTGTCTACCTGGATGTTTGAGCTTACAAACCCAGTGCTGAATTAACTTAAAACATTTGTTTTGTTAAACGCAGACATGAATGTACTGAATTACAAATTCATTGACAACTCTGCACCATAACAGCACACTTAAACACACCAAGAGCTTCACAAGCTTGGTCAAACATGTAAAACAACACAACTTTAATTTGTTCAGTCAGTACGTTAGCGCATGACGTCACTCAGAGCAAAAAGCATAGAATTAAAGTAAATAGATCTGCCCAGTCATGGATCGGTCACATTGTCACCAATACCCGATATCAGTACCGATATTGGTATTGGATTGGTGCATCTCTAAATTGAAATCAATTATACCCCCAAGTTCAGCCCTGCCTGTTGTCTCCATGGCATTTTTTGCAGTATAACTTTATGTGCTGTCTTAATAAACACATAAACTGGAAGTTGTGGAGAAATGTAATGTTCCAAACATAATCATTCAGCATGTGTTGAACTGCATGACCGTATGAATTTTATTAATACAAGTCCAGGTTTCATTAGACCCCTAGTAAAAGAATATGTGAGGCGTTCATTACAGCCATACATTTCATCACACAGAATCATCATGAAATTTGAGTATTTATTATCAATCCAACAATGGTGATGCAGTGTTCAGTTTCCAGTCATTTCCATTAATTTCATCACATATTTTCTGGTGATCCCTTGATTTGGTGTGTTGCTTTCGTTTCTGTTCGAGTTCAAGTTATGAGTTCTTTAATGAAAGCTTTGCCATCTGTTTGTTTTCATTTGTCAGATTTAATTTCTTCCATCAACTCTAACATGTTGTTTTCCCCCCTCCTTGGCTTGTGTTGGTGCTCCAGAACCAACAAAACGTTTGCTTTCCTTCCAAGGGTTGGCGGAGCTGGCGCACCGCGAGTACCAGTCAGGGGATTTTGAGGCAGCTGAGCGCCACTGCATGCAGCTATGGAGGCAGGAGCCTGATAACACGGGCGTGTTACTGCTTCTGTCCTCCATCCACTTCCAGTGCCGAAGACTTGACAGGTGAGGTGTGGTAGGGGAGGCTTGTCATGCACTCAGCATTTCATGTGGTGATGGCAAAAAGTTACATGGCTTCCGGGTTTGAACGCGCACAGCTGAACTGAAGGATCTGCTGAAATGGCTGAAGCTTCTACTGGAAATTCTGTTACTCGATTTATTGAGGTGTCACGCTTTCCCTATGATTGTAACATGGACTTGTGGTGGTGGTATCTGACAATGCCTTGGTGGGGGGGTTTGAATCTTGCAAGTTAAGTCTTTTAGTTCTGATTAGAATTGCATAATAAATACCTTGCTGCTTTGCTGTTGCCTCAAAACAACAAATCAAGCTAGCAGTTCGTGTCTGGAGTTTCTGGAAATGCAACAATCTTGTTCGTAACATCGTCCTACAGGTCTGCTCACTTCAGTACCTTGGCCATCAAACAAAACCCAATGCTTGCAGAGGCCTACTCCAATCTGGGGAACGTCTACAAGGAGCGTGGGCAGCTACAGGAGGCTATTGAGCATTATCGTCATGCTCTGAGGCTGAAACCAGATTTTATTGATGGATACATCAACCTGGCAGCAGCTCTGGTGGCCGCGGGAGACATGGAGGGAGCAGTGCAGGCTTATGTGTCTGCATTACAGTACAACCCGGTAAGTTACATATTTGGGTGTTTTTGAAATGACATTGTGTTTCCCTTTGCTGATGAGTAATAGTAAAATTAAACGTCTTCCTCTGCAGGACCTCTATTGCGTGCGGAGCGATTTGGGCAATTTGCTTAAAGCCCTTGGGCGTTTGGAAGAGGCTAAGGTATGTGACAATGGGTTGGCTTTAATATAGATGTGTGGTGGCTTATTACATAGGGTTTTTTTTCCTAATCACATATTTGTTTTTAGTACCCAATAAGGCTATATATATTTCCCTTTTTAACGTTTTTAAAATCCATCAGATTTTTTAAGTTCAACCATCTCAGCTAAGTTAAAAACAGGGAACAGTAGCATCCCTCATTTCTCTGAGCTGCAGTGAGATTCTCACTCGCTAAACTTGGCTAATTCCTTTGGGAATTATTGGATTGAGGCTAATTTTTTAGTACATAAAAACTTTCTGTTGATTACTTTTTAGACAGCTTTGTTTTGTTTTTCAGTATAGCATACACAGTCATACCACATGTCAGTTTTAGTCCCCCTCTCCTTTTTTATACACTGCCCTTTTTTGGAGGTCAGCCCCTCCCCTTTCAGGAAGAAAGGCTGGACTTTTTTAGTTCACCCAACAGATGCAACTTTGGCCTTGTATTTTTTATATAGTCACCCTAGAGGGGAAATGCTGGCTCGGTCTTGGGAGAAGTCATGAACTGATGAAAGTTAGTTTATCTTTGAAGTGCAAAAGATAAGATGGTTTATAACCTAACTGCTGTACTCCTGTTTTGTACACAAAGAACCCAAAGACTATTGTTTTATCTTGGTTTGCTGTCAGGCTCCAAGTGTGGCTCTCCCCCCCACTTCAGGAATTACTACTTCAGTTTGTCTCAAAAATTGTTTATTTCAAGGGGCTACCTTGATGGGGTCAAATCTGGAGGTATGGAGTTATCCTGCCGGTTACAGGCCATCTTATTTCATGCTAGAGAGGGGGGTAAAGGAGTGGGGAGGAGCATCAGGGAGTCACAAGCTCCTCAGCTCTGTCGCTCCACCCCCCTGCGCGCTCGCTGAGGATTGGTGGAGTGTGCGCGCTCAGAGTTGTCTTCCTGACCTTTCTGCATCATCCAGTGTGTGCTCCAACACACTCCCAACTTGTTCTGTACTTTTGCTTATTTTTTTATATTTGGGACTCAGGTTACCTAAAAGTAGTTCTCTAAGGTGGTTAACTTTCTTGATAACCACCGCTTTCCAATTGCACTTCAAACTGTACGAGTTAAAGAGTAATCACTAATGCTTCAAAATGACTGAACTGGTGTCAAGCAGACAACTCACAAACTGTACTCCACCTCCTGCGTCAGATGCTGGGTTAGAAAGACAAAAACATGCAAAGCTGCAGCAATGACCTCTTTATTTCAGAACTGTGGAGGCTGCTAGATTCAAGTAATTAATCCACAGATTTCTTTTCTCTACCCATTGGCCAGGATTCAAGAAAGCAGGCCAGGAACCCAAAGTTTTTAAAAAAATATTTCATGAAAATGCTAGCTGAATAAAATACAAGCAATGATTAATATTTCTTCCCTTTTTCCTTCAAATATGTAAATATTATTCCCAATGAAATGGGATCAGTTCATTTGGGCAAGATCAAGCCAGTAAGTGTCCTCCTGTAAGTTTTATTTCAAATCTGAATTGAAGGACAACTGGAAGTCTGACCTTAGGTCACTGATTATCTGCTCACAACAAAGCCTTTCTTCCCTCCCAGATACCTGTAGGCATTCCTTTAGTTTTCTTTGAATTTAAACATTCATTGCATGACTCAAAACGAAGCATAGCAATATAGATTTTTATGTTTGTTGTGATTTTTATGTTTTATTTCCATAATAAAAAGAATGTATTATTTGACAACCTATACTAACGATCTTGTTTTCTGATTTTGTCTCTTTTGGTTTTTCCACAACTGATACTGTTATTTAGAAGGTTTCAGGTGGGTGACACTATTCCTGCGTAGGTGCCTGGCGGAAAGGAACACTAGGGCAGCCTCAGTCCTCTCCTCTTCTTCCAGCCAGCTGCGGCCGCCACTCTGACAAAGTCCAAAAATATGGTAACGGGTTTGTAAATGCCAGCAAAAGAAAAACCACCTCACTTCATGCTAGAGCTCCTCTGTCTTGTGGCTTCCTTTTGAAGAGCAATAAATAAATAAATAAACATTACAATCCACAGTAAACATTTCTTAAAATATACCATACTAATTACCTAGTTTAATAACAAGTAAAGAGAAACTCAGATTTGGAAGCTATAATCATGAAAAACAAGTAAGAACCCTCTAACTCTGACATATTTGTTGTTTTTCCTGTTTTGTTTTGATTTTCCCTTCTTTATTTGGAGTTGCAGCGTTCTGATGATGATGCAGATAGTGTGCTGTGAGTCTGCAGTAGCGCAGGGGCTGCGCAGCGATACCTTTCAAGCTACCAAAATGGCGGAAAGCGCAAGCGTGCTAATCCACACCCCTCATTCCCTTTGGTCTGTTGGTTGTGGACCTTCCCCTATTCAAAACCAGCCTCGCACCCAAGTTGCACCCGCATCTTTGAAACAAATTAAAAAACAAAAGGTTTTGCCCTTTTTAACTTAAAAATAATTTGACTTAATCTACAAGTACCACTTCATTTGGAATTATTCTTTTTCTTCTATCTGAAGCTCTTAATAAATAATGCAACTGATTAATCTCATAACCCCAATGGCCCCCTCTCCTTATTGTGAGATGATAAATGAGTGCCAGGTGTGTGCTAGTCTGGTCCTGCAGGTTATCTGCCGGGGGTTGTTGGTCTGCAGCTGTTTCACATGGCCATTCAGCGAGCGCAGCAGCGAAGCCAAACCTTTGCCAGGAGCAAGGTCATGCAAACTGCGTTGCAGCGTGGGGTGGCAATACTCGCACAGCGCGCCCGCGTTTGTTGCGCATGCATTACAGGGACCGTCACCCACACAAACTGCCCAGCATCTAAGGTTGTGAAAAAAATTCTACCAATGATATTTAGCGTTTAGTTGCCATTGTTGATGATGAATTATTTCTTACTCTCATTTACTGCGTTGTCATACAGAAGGTCACCAAAAAGCAGCAGTCGGTACCTGGTTCAAGAACCATTAGAATTGGTGAACACGTGGTCATAACTGCAGGATGGGGGCCTATGTGTGGGTGTTGGTTGGATCTGCGCAGCGTAGGAAAAAGCAATGCAGCTTTGCGCGGCAGACTTTGGCGCCAGCGAGCCCATGCTGTGGACTCACTTTTTGATATCATGGAGGATGGACACTAATTTTTCTTTCTCTGCCCTTTTTTTCTTTTTCTTTTATTTTCAATCTATTTTTTTTATTTTGCAATCCCCCTCTCTCTCTCTGCATACTATATCTGTCCCATTCTACCTCTTGTCCTCCTTTCCTGTTTTCAATTTAAACCAACATGAAGGCTTGTTACCTGAAAGCCATTGAGACTCAGCCAAACTTTGCAGTGGCCTGGAGCAACTTGGGTTGTGTGTTCAATGCCCAAGGAGAAATTTGGCTCGCTATACACCATTTTGAAAAGGTACTTTTGGTTATTTTGTACTCTATGGCTCCTGTTTTGGGATATTTGTGTTGTTACGTGATAAGCTTGTTTTTCATTTTTAGGCTGTGACTCTGGACCCAAATTTTCTTGATGCATACATCAATTTAGGGAACGTTCTCAAAGAAGCCCGCATTTTTGACAGGTGAGTCAAGTGTCACTCAGACCTTACGATACTCTACATTCATGCATAAGCTGTTTTCTTAAAAAATACACTTCATAACGTTTGAATAACAACTTGTAACTGAGTACAAGTTAAAGTTTTTTTTTCTTTGAACTTGTTTTATTACATTCCATCGTTTAGGCAGGCCAGATGTACTGCCTCTATGCAAAAGCCGTTGTGTAACTGCTATTGAAACGAAAGTTTTATCTTAATATGTTAACAGATTATAATGTGATCAAATAGGGGCTTGTTGGTAGCTGTTTATTTGTATTGTTTCAGAGCTGTGGCTGCTTACCTGAGAGCGCTGAGTCTTAGCCCCAACCATGCAGTTGTCCATGGAAACCTGGCCTGTGTCTACTATGAGCAGAGCCTCATCGACCTCGCCATCGACACCTACCGTCGTGCTATTGAACTGCAGCCTCACTTTCCTGACGCTTACTGCAACTTAGCCAATGCCCTGAAGGAGAAAGGCAACGTAATGTGCATTTTTGTGTTCCAAAATTAGTATAATTTGGGGAGGGTTTAAGTTGATTTTCAAATGTTTTTTCTTTTTTTAATCAGGTGTCTGAAGCAGAGGAGTGCTACAACACGGCTTTGCGTTTGTGTCCAACTCACGCTGACTCACTTAACAACTTGGCTAATATAAAACGTGAGCAGGGCAATATAGAGGAGGCAGTTCAGCTCTATAGAAAAGCATTAGAAGTGAGTCGAGTAACATTAACAACACTTTTTTTAATTGACTTGGATGAGTACACTGTCTTCATTTTTATTTATTACTTTTCATTAGGTGTTCCCAGAGTTTGCAGCAGCCCACTCTAATCTAGCCAGTGTTCTGCAGCAGCAAGGAAAACTCCAGGAGGCCCTCATGCACTACAAGGAGGCAATCAGGTTTGTAATCCTAATTTATAGGCGTCATTCGACTTTCTGTTCTGTTTATCACCTTCTTCTTGTTAATCTGACATCAAATACTTGAGGTGATCATACACTTGCGTTAAATAAGCCTGAATCAGTCGACTTACTAGAACACTTTTCTGTTGTGACTTTAGAATCAGTCCTACATTTGCTGATGCCTATTCCAACATGGGCAACACGCTGAAAGAGATGCAAGATGTACAGGGAGCCCTGCAGTGCTACACTCGTGCCATCCAGATTAACCCAGCCTTCGCTGATGCTCACAGCAATCTGGCTTCCATACACAAGGTAGAGACAACAAATTTGTTTTAATCTGAACATTTTTCCTTAAATGATTCCAAAACATGCTTTATGTTTAAGGACCGGTTAACAGCTTAGATATTTACAAATGTCTTTATAAAATATGTTTATGAATTTCTATATTAAGAGTAAATCAAATCAATTACTTATAAATTTACATTGTCACAAACGTATGTAAAAATGCATGTCTGTTAAAATAAAAATCCTCAACAGTTGAGTTTATCTATTTCATTACTAGTTTTATAAAGTTTAATTTATTCTTTTAATGTGTTTTTTTTAAGGATTCTGGAAACATCCCAGAGGCCATTGCATCTTATCGCACTGCCTTGAAACTCAAGCCAGACTTTCCTGATGCCTACTGCAACTTGGCACATTGCCTGCAGGTTGTATATGGACCTTTATGTGTTTAGCAATTTATTTAACAGGTTTTACCTCTGAAGTAAATCTGACTTTTCTCATTTGTTTTACTTTTCCAGATTGTGTGTGACTGGACAGACTACGACGAACGAATGAAAAAGCTTGTGAGCATTGTAGCCGACCAGCTGGAAAAGAACCGCTTGCCCTCTGTGCACCCACACCACAGCATGCTGTATCCCTTGTCTCACAACTTCCGCAAGGCCATTGCCGAGCGCCACGGAAACCTTTGCCTGGACAAGGTACACGCAATGATCAAAGCAAGTAACCTTTAAATTACTTTTTGGGTGGTTGTGAGGTGGTTGGTAATGGCTGGGCCTGGCTGTGGGGTGTTGGGGAAGGTAAGGGACAAGCACAATTCTTAAAATGTTTTTCTTAAAGAGGCAAAACAGCTGGTGGTGCACGGGCTGCTTGCAGTGTATGAGGGTGTGGTATAAACAAACGTTCCATGTTAAGCTTTGGAATTTTTTTTTTAAATGATTTTTGCATTTGTCTTTTGTTTAGATGGGTTTGGCTAATTCAGAAAGAAAATGTGCCTCCTGCTGTGGTTGTAATCTTACACTATTGCCCATTGTGCAGATTAATGCACTACACAAACCTGCCTTTGAGCATCCAAAGGACCTGAAGGCCAGCGGCGGACGTCTGCGTGTAGGCTACGTCAGCTCTGACTTTGGCAACCACCCGACCTCCCACCTGATGCAGTCTATCCCTGGAATGCACAACCCAGAGAAATTTGAGGTAGATGATCTCATTTGTACCTTCTATTCATGTAATATAAATAAGCGTGTATACATCACTCATTACAATATGTTGTTACTAAGATTTGTTTTATTTGACATCTTTTCTGAAGGTGTTCTGTTACGCACTGAGCCCTGATGATGGTACGAACTTCCGTGTGAAAGTTGTAGCAGAAGCTCATCACTTCACAGACCTTTCACAGGTAACCAGAACAAGAGTCACTTCTCTGTTTTCATGAATTTACAAAATTACTTTTTTTTTTTTTTATTTATTATTTTTTTTTATACTTAACACAGTTTGAAAAAGATTAATTTTTTAAAAAAGGAGTGGAGAGGGAGTGGTGGTGCAGAGGTTCAAGAAGGTGAGCCTGTGATCGGAAGATCGCTGGTTCAACTCCCGGTACCGACAACATCAAAATGTGGGTGGGATAGGTGAAGCACTCACACCTGTCTCCACCCTCATTTGCCCCACTCTGGGCCCTTGAGCAAGGCCCTTAACCCCCACCATCTGCTCCCCCGGGCACTCTAGGTAGCAGCTCTCTGCTCCACACAGAGGCTGTGGTAGCTCTGTGGTTGTGTCAGGAAGGACATCCGGCGTAAAAACAATTGCCAAGTCTTTGTGCGACTTAGTTCGCTGTAGTGACCCTGAATAAGGGAGCAGCCGAAAAGAAGAATATATATTTTTTAAGTATATGAAAGTTCTGGTTTTTTTTTTTATCATTTTGAGCGAGTTGGAGACTCTGGTAACACTAATTTAACATTAAAAGCCAAAAAATTACTATTTCTATAGAAACACTTTATCTTTTGATTTTAGATTCCTTGCAATGGAAAAGCTGCAGACCGTATTCACCAGGATGGAATCCACATTCTGGTTAACATGAACGGATACACCAAAGGAGCACGAAATGAGCTATTTGCTCTCCGTCCCGCCCCCATTCAGGTGAGCCTCCTGTGGAAACAAAATAACTACTCTGTAGCCCTGATCAGTGAGACATCTGTGGTCCACTGGCTTTGAAGGAAGCACAGACCTATTCCTGCACTTTTCTCAGGCTATGTGGCTCGGTTACCCTGGAACCAGTGGGGCTCCTTTCATGGATTACATCATCACTGATAAAGAGACGTCACCTGTGGAAGTAGCTGAGCAGTACTCTGAGAAACTCGCCTACATGCCCAATACTTTCTTCATTGGTGATCATGCCAACATGTTCCCTCACCTCAAGGTTTGTTCATCTTCCTATAGCTGATAATCATTCAGGTTCGTTTTCTCAATTTCCTTATTTGTTAGTTTTACAAAATGTTTTATTTCTTTGACTCGCAGAAAAAGGCAGTGATTGATTTCAAGTCAAACGGACACATCTTTGACAATCGCATTGTTCTTAATGGTATTGATCTGAAAGCCTTCTTGGACAGTCTTCCTGATGTTAAAGTCATAAAAGTGAGTAAAAGTACTTCCTGAGCCTTACAGAAAACAAACTAGTCTGAATGGAGTGAATATAATAATGCAGTAATTATATGGAGTACGAGTAGCCCACATGCATCAGAGCATGTTGGAAGATTTAATGTTGAACAATATTTTCAAGATTTAAAGTAGAAACTGTTCTCTGTGCCCAGATGAAGTGTGACAACAATCAGGAACCTGTGGGGGACACAAATGGAGCTCTGTCCATGCCTGTGATTCCCATGAACACAGCAGCTGAAGCAATTATCAATATGATCAATCAAGGCCAAATCCAAGTCACGATCAATAACTTCACAGTCAGCAATGGCCTGGCTACCACACAGGTAGGAATCATTTGGACGCGGTTCTCATTATGAATGCAAATCTTGAAAGACCGTTTGTGCAGATACAGGAAGACTTTAGCTTCTTTCGGTTTGGATTTGTTTGTTTAAGGCCATCAAGTGTGAAAATGAACTAAAACTGGTGGAAATTTAGTGGGTTTTGCTCATTTGATTATCTGTGGGCTCAAACAGTTAACGTCACAAAACACTTGGGGGGGAAAAATGTACAAACTTATTTTATTCTCACTCAGATCAATAACAAAGCTGCCACTGGGGAGGAGGTGCTGCGCACCGTTGTAGTTACAACCCGCTCCCAGTACGGTCTCCCAGAGGATTCCATCGTCTACTGCAACTTCAACCAACTCTACAAGATTGATCCTCCAACTCTTCAGACGTGGGCCAACGTACGTTAAACAGATGCAGTCCTACTGATCGTTTTGATTCATTTGTCTTCACTTAAATCATAAAGTAACTTGTTTTTTAAGTTGGTGTTAAGTTTGTTTTGAAACTTCCCGTGTTGCTGCAGATCCTGAAACGTGTGCCCAACAGCGTGCTGTGGCTTCTTCGCTTCCCTGCTGTTGGCGAGCCCAACATCCAGCAGTACGCTCAGAACATGGGTCTTCCTGCCTCGCGCATCATTTTCTCGCCCGTGGCGCCCAAGGAGGAGCATGTGAGGAGAGGCCAGCTGGCTGATGTATGCCTCGACACGCCTCTGTGCAATGGTCACACAACGGGCATGGATGTCCTCTGGGCTGGAACGCCCATGGTGACGATGCCAGGTGAGGAAGCTGAAAAAACACAAAACCACCCCGCTGTTAGTTATGATTTTTTGCTGCTCCACATAAAAAATTTGAACAAAATATGGGAAAAATGAATGTTTTTGAAAATTTTCATTGTTAAATCTATATATCGAGTCTTTTGTTTTAATAAGACCCTTTTGTAGGTGAAACCCTCGCTTCCCGCGTGGCCGCCTCCCAACTCAGTTGTCTCGGCTGCCCAGAGCTCATCGCCCAAAGTCGTCAGGAATACGAGGACGTAGCGGTCAAGCTGGGATCTGACATGGAGTAGTAAGAAGACCTTTATCTGCTTTACCTGCCTTGTCTTTGAACTTCTTCACCCCCCATGTGTCAGAGTCTGACGTTGCTTATTTTTCTTTCTTGCAGCCTGAAAATGATCAGAGCACGCGTTTGGAAACAGCGAATCTGCAGCCCCCTGTTCAACACCAAGCAGTACACAATGGACCTGGAGAAGCTCTATCTGCAGATGTGGGAGCACCACAGCAACGGCAACAAGCCAGATCACATGGTCAAACTTCAAACAGTTGAGTCCAGTGACAACGCCTGAACTGGAAACACTCCTTCCCAACTGTTTTTAACCATCATCAACATGGTTTGAATGGTCAGGTTTCACTCGAGTACCCTGTCCACTATAAACTTTGTTTTCAAGGGGACTCCTCCTTGCATGGAGCCAACGCGCATTCACATTTGGACTTCTATCACATTTGTCATGAAGTCGCACATCTGCTGAGCCAGATTGAGCCTGAAACGTTCAGGCACCTTGTCACCTGAGACTCTTGTCCTGCAACACCTAATATGTATTTTGTGAGCATGAGAAGATTGTGAATATTCTGCGCTACCTTCCATACTTGGAACTATGTTTTTGTTTTTTTCTCCTGTCATTGTGCGTATAGGACTACTTGCAGCTTGTGGAGAAAATGCCCAGACATCATTACGTGGTGATCTGTTTAGAAAATAAAGAATTTTGTGTGTGTGTGTGTGGGGGGGGGGGGGGGGGGGTTTGTTTTAAGAAAAGGGTTGTTGCACCATTAAAATTGTCAGCTTTAACAAGCAATTGCGAAACATAAATTGCTTCAGTTCTTTAGTTTAAGCTGTTAAATGGCTGCAACATGTAAATGTTCAAGTTTAAAAGAACTTCTCTATAAAGTGACTTCACTCGCCAACTTTATTAATTTTGTCAACTGAGAAAAAATGTTTACTTTTTTAATGTCAAACTGCCCACATATTATTTGAGTAACACAATTTGGACTTGAAAAGCTAAATTTCAGTTGTAAAATTTTGTTTTTAATAAGCCAAGACATTAAATATTTTCTAAAAAGTCTTTCTATTGTTTACCTGTTTGCTGTCAGTGATGCTGCAAGTCTACATATACAATAAATGGAGATTGAAAATACTATTTATTGTTTTTCTCTTGTTGATAGTGAAAGTTGTTAAACTTGAAGGGTCTATTTGTTTTATTTTGGGTAGCTTTGTCTTTGACCTGTTAATGCAAAACTATGCATTGCTGTGGTACATTTCTGTGCCAGAAAATGTTAAATTGTGGTTGTCACGGAGGCCAACCAATGTAAATGTAACTACGTGAAATTACTAATAAAAAAGGTAAAATGCCTAACGCCTTCTGTGGCATGGTTCCTCAGTTATTTGGCATATTTATACATTCTGTAACTTGGACATTTTGGCTAAATATTAAATTCAACCATCAAGTTCACCTAGCCATTAAATGTTAGGTGTAATGCGTAAAACAATTTAGCTGTTACTTGAGGCCTTCTCTGATTGGTTAAAATTTTCCACGACAAGTTCTTTGATTGGTTAAAAATTTCCATGACAAGTTCTGTGATTGGTCAAAAATCTCCATGACGACTTCCGGTGGAAAGGAGCGTACAGTTTGAATTTCACGACTCTTTCAACCCTGCCTCTTCCGTCTGCTTTTTAAACAAGTAAATCACCTCTGGTACTCGTATCTCAATTAAATTATATTTTAGATAGATAGTTTGTGGATTACGAAAGCCTAGGGAAATGTAAGCTAGCTAATATTAGCCTTTGCGTGTTCTGTTTGATTACCGAGATGTTGGCGAGAATGCTAACTGGCTAGCAAAGCTACATTTTGTAAAAGGTTAAATTAGAACAAACAAAAAAAAACCCTTTCTAATTGTCCCTTTACTCATCTGTAAAGCACAGGGTAATGTATATATGTTCTTGCTCAGGAGAAAATGAACGATGGGATCAACAATTTGTTTGAAAGAGTCGCGCAAAAGATGGGATGGATGAATGACGGAGGACTGGAGGCGACAGAACACAAGGTGTGTTGAACACTCCGTCAACCCCATGGATTAGAGTTGATAGAAAATTCAAAAATACTTTATTAATTCCAAAGGAAAATTAAATGTTGTAACTCATCATCCTGGATTCATTAAAGAGTTGTTCTAGATGCTGATGGCTGTGGGCAGGAATGATCTCTAGTAGAGGTCTGTCTTACAGCAGATCTGAAGAAGACTCTGACTGAAGACACTGTTGTTGTATGACAGTCTGATGAAGAGGATGCTGAGGGTTGTCTATAATGTTCTTCATTTTATGAAGAATCCTTCTTTGTACAATCCTCTTCAAAGGTTCTAGAGGAGTCCCCAGAACTGAGCCAGCCTTCTTTATGAGCTTGTTGATCTTTTTTAAGTAACTTGCTCTGGTGCTGCTACCCCAGCAGATGATGGCAGAAGAGATAGCGCTCTCTACAACAGACTTATAGAAGATATGTAGCATCTTTCTGCAAACGTTGAAGGACTTCAGCTTCCTCAAGAAGTACAGTCTGCTCTGTCCCTTCTTGTAGACGCTTCACTGTTGCATTTCCAGTCCAGTCTATTGTCCAGGTGAACCCCAAGGCATTTATAATTCTCCACCACCTCCACTTCTTCTCCTAAGATGAAAATAGGGTTGGACCTGTTCCTGTTTCTCCTGAAGTCTACAATTATCTCCTTTGTTTTGTTCACATTCAAGATGAGATGATTGTTTCCACACCATGCCACAAAGCGGTCCAACAGTTCCTTGTACTCAGCTTCTTGTCCAGCTCTGATGCACCCGACCACTGCAGAGTCCCCAGAATATTTCTGCAGATGACAGGAGTCTGTTTTGTACTGAAAATCTGAGGTGTATGTACAGAGTGAAACGGAATGGTGAGAGTACAGTCCCCTGTGGTGCTCCTGAGCTACTGACCACCTGGTTGGACACACAACCCTTCAGTCTCACAAACTGTGGTCTGTCTGTCAGGTAGTCTTTGATCCAGGTGATTGTTGAAGCCTCCACCTGAGTCTTCTGGAGTTTCTGACAAAGCAAATCAGGCTGGATTGTGTTAAATGCACTGGAGAAATCAAAGAACATGACTCTCACAGTGCTGTCTGACTTTTCTAGATGACAGTGAGTTTGCTGAAGCAGGTGTATGATGGCATCTTCAACTCCAAGTCCACGCTAATAAGCAAACTGCAGTGGGTCCTGATATGTGCTTGTTTGTCTAGTCAGGTGGGCCAACATAAGTCTCTCTAGGACCTTCATGATATGGGATGTCAGGGCAACAGGTCTATGAGGACTGATGGGTGAGGTTTCTTTGGCACTGGAACAAGACAGGATGTTTTCCACAACTCTGGAACCTTCTCCTGGGTCAGGCTAAGGTTGAAGAGGTGCTGCAGAACCCCACAGAGATGCTCTGCACAGACCTTCAGGACTCTGGGACTGACACCATCTGGACCTGCAGCCTTATTCCAGTTCAGTCTCTCCAGCTGCTTCCTCACCTGACTTCTAGAGACACAGACGGGGGGTCCATGACCGAGGTGGTAGATACAGTATTTGAGGTGTGACAGGAAAGCCTTGGGTAAAAGGAGGGTGGTTTGGCTGTTTGGCTGTGGGCAAGAGAGGAGGATGCTGAGCTTGTTCCTGAACTGAACCTGTTGAAAAACGTGTTCAATTCGTTGGCTCTGTCCATGCTCCCATCCTTCTGATCCTCCTTCTGCTTGAAGCCTGTGATCTTTTTCATCCCTGACCACACCTCTCTGATATTGTTCTGCTGGAGCTTGCTCTCCAGCTTCTTCTTGTACACCTCTTTGTTGTTTCTGATCTTGACTTTTAGTTGCTTCTGTGTACTCCTCAATAATTCCCTGTCCCCCCTCCCTGAAGGCTCTTTGATTAAAAAAAAAACCAAATTCACTTCTTCTTGTTTTTGGTAGTACTTTACAAGTTGTGTATGGGGTGTAACTTGTAATTTTTTTTTTAGTTGAGGAGTGTAATCAGTAAAACACGTCATGCCGGAACAAGCGAGCGTCATGTTGGAGCCTGCGCCCTGAGTGAGTCCAGTGATGAAGACTTTGACAAGTGTAAGTTTTAAACCCACACCTGTTATGGACGAGACTCCTAAAGCAAAATACTGGATTTTTATATTGTATCATGGCCTTTTTCTCCAGTTCTTGTCGAAAATTTTACTCCTAAAACAAAATCCCGGAAGCCTTGCAGTGCTGCTAAGACAGAGAGGTATGAAGAAAACCCATGTTTTTGTTTTGCTGATAAATTATTATATTTTTTCTTTTTAACTTGTCATTATACTTGACAGTGAGGTGAATAATACTATAACCATTGTATTTGTTCAGCTCTGATGTTCTTGTGTTGAGCTCCGATGACGACGTCGCCTTTGAGGCATGTAAGTGCTGACACACTTTGTGTCCCAAAATGTAATTTTTAGTTGTGAAGCCATATTTTCTTTTTGTTTTGCATAATAGTTTTGGAACAAGTGAAAACTCCTGCTACCAAACCCAGAAAAAAACCTGACGGTGGGAGTGAAGATGTGTAAGTTTTTGTTTTATTTTTTCAAGTGTTTCCATCCTGAGTTGTAAATGCTGAATGTAAAATCTCTTCTTGTCTTTGTGTGACAGCCTCAAGTCCTTCTTAGTGAACGACTGGTCATCTGATGAAGACTTTATCAAGACAAAATCTTCCTTTCGGGGTAATTTTAATTCGTCTTCTGTTCATCTGTTTGTAAATGAGCTTAAGAGGTTTTTAATGCAACAAGACATCCAGTGGAGAGTAAGTTTTCAGTGTAACTTTTCCAAAATAAGCTTTAATTTTAATGTTTTACTCTAAAATTTGGGTTCGTTTTTTTCCTTTTTTGTATTTATTTAAAAAGAGCAGTGCACATTCATCAGTGTTTCTGTGTTACACGGCAATATATAAATTTACCAGTATTAGCTCAATAGCTAAATTCATCAATTGTCCTTATGCAGGTAAAACAAATAAAAACATAATTATGTTTGCAAATGATCACTCAACATCTGCACGCACTTTGAAAAATGCTTTAATTTATAGTGGGCACATGTAGTGTGGCTGATGTCGCTTTGTGTATGTTAATTATTCTTTTCAACCGAGCGCTCCGCCGAAGATTTACTTGTTGTAGTTGTGTGTACATTTGCTTTTGAAATAATTTGTGTTTTGTTTGCTTTGCAGTTCCAGAAAAGAGCAATTCTCCAGCGGTGCATCCATTCAGGAAACCACTGTCTCAGTTTAACGCACCTGTTTTTGATAGTGATGATGATGATGAAGATAACGTCATTAGGAGTACTTGGAAGACGCGTCACTCAAAGCCCAAGTCCCGTCTAAAGGCGGACAAGAATGACGAGGAGAACCGTTCTCCACTTTTGCCCTCCAGCCCTTTTCCTCCCACCAAAACTCAGGAGTTAGCCGTGTCGCCCAGGCGCACGTTTTCAATGCCTGCTGCCCTGCACGAGTCAGGCAGCTCTGAGGAGGAGTTTGTGTCCTTACTGGAGAGGCTCAAAAGAAAAAACAACCTCACAAGCACTTCATTCTCACCTACGACCACCAAAGGTAAAGTCAGTGATGAACTTTGACAAAAATCTTCTTGAGTCAAGAGGCCGATTTCTCGTTTTGTCTCGTTCCTAAATCTAGAATCTGATAAGGAGGTTGTTCCAGCTCCTGCTGCGAAGTCGTTCACAACACCCAACTCTAACTCGTTAAGAAAAACACCTGGACATGCGAAGACGAAAGGAAGCTCGCCCATCATGAAGCCCAAGGTCTGTCAGACAGAGCCCAGACCTGGCTGCAAGAGCAGGTGCGTCACATACACACCTGAATGTTGGATTAAAAAAAAAAAAAGTTATGCACCAAAATTAGTCCTGATTAACTTCTTTTTATAGGGAGGTGGTGTGCACGACTCCTGGCTGCTTCTTGGAGTCTCTCACAAACCCCAGGTCCACCTACGGGGCCAGTTTCAAGACAAACAAGGAAGAACTCACAAGCAAGCTCTACCAGCTGTACAACACCAGTGTGTTTGACAACAAGGTGTCAAATGGCAGCTCTTTCTATTCATTTACATTTTGCAGACATGTTTTCTAACTGCTGTTTTTGTAACTTTTTTTTTAGAACATTTGTTCCAAACATTTTACAATACATCTCTTTATTTATTAACGTTTTATATGTTTTCTCTTCTTTACTAAATACTATTTTAGCTTCCAACCGACATGTCGTTGACCTGGAACAAGAAGATGCGTAAAACAGCTGGCTACTGTGTTACGGGACAGGAGAGGGGTGGAGGGAAGCGCTATGCCCGAATCGAGCTGTCTGTAAAAGTCTGTGACTCTGCAGGTAATGCTTTTTTAAAAATTTTATTTCAATTCAGTTAATTTATATAGCGCCAAGTCACAACAGAAGTCATCTCAGGACACTGAACAGAAACATTAATATATAAAAATAATAAGTTAACATTATATCTGAGGAGCAAACTGCTTTGAATTTAACTTCATGGCAGAACTCTCATCTTGAGCAAGCATGAAGGCGACAGTGGGAAGGAAAAACTCCCTCATGAAGAAGAAACCTTTAGCAGAACCAGGCTCAGGACAAGCAGCCATCTGCTTCGACCGGCTGGGTTTGGGAGGAACAGATACACAATGGAAGGTCAAGAATCACATTAAGATAGAAATAATATCAAATGAAAATTATTCAATTGTAACAATTCATTTAAGGAAATGAGTAGACCTGTCACGATAACAAATTTTGCTGGGCGATTAATTGTCTCAGAAATTATTGCGATAAACGATAATATTGTTTGAAATTTGACAATAATTAGTAATTGTCAAATTTAAGAAGAAATGTTGGTTAATTTATTTTGTGTGTGGTACCTTTTTTTCAACCACCAGATAAGACTGTTTGAACTGCAAGATGGATAGTGAGGGAGCAAGCAGCGTATCTCTTTAAGACAAATTGGAGGGATGCCCCTTGACGTGACATGGGCTGTCTCTCCTTTCTTTTTTCCGGTTCTCAAAATGGTGGATGCTTGGTGTGATTTGAGCTCTTTAGCATAGCATTTAAAAAAAAAAAAAAACTTTTAATTTAAAAAAAAAAATCAGTAAACAAGTTCTGAGCTTCTTTTTGCAGGAAAAAAAACAACTTTTTACACGAAGGCACGGGTTTCAACCGTGAATTTTGGAGCTTCGACAAGACGGAGGTTTTTACCCGAGGTCGGCCTGTTAGCTTATCTCATAGCTTAGCTGCTCAGCTTAGCGGCTTTTAACGATCCAACAACGTGATTTTGGACGGTTAAAATGGATTTTAAAGAGAAAGGGAGGGGTCAGTGAAGAGCACCGGAATTGAGCCTTTTGTCATCCAGTGTCTTCAGTAGAAAGAGAGAGACACGAAGAAACGATAAAGCTGATAAATGAAAATGAGGTTGATTATTTTCATTTATAATGCGAGTAATTGATTTATTGTTTATCGCGACAGGCCTAGAAATGAGGTCTATTTGTCTTCCAGTAGTCTAAGCCTATGGCAGCATAACAAGGCAACCCTAACTATAGGAGTTATCAAAAAGGAAAGTCTTAATCCCAGTCTTAAAACTGGACAATGTGTCGGCCTCACGGACAGAAACTGGTTGGTTCCACAAGAGAGGAGCCTGAGAACTGAAAGATCTTCCTCCCATTCTGCTTTTGGAAACTCTAGGAACTGCAAGTAAACCTGCAGTCTGAGAGTGAAGTGCTCTATTAGGAAAATATGGAACAATAAGATCTTTAATATATGATGGAGCTAGGTTGTTGAGGGCTTTGTAGAAGTAAGATTTTGACAACAATTCTGAATTTTGACAACTAGTTTGCAGAAGTTGTTCCTAAATAAGAACACAGGAGTGTCCGCTTGTTTTTCCGTCCTCGCAGATCGTCTCAGGGACACGCTGATACATGAGATGTGTCACGCCGCGACGTGGCTGATAAACGGCGTGAGGGATGGACACGGGAACTTTTGGAAGCTGCACGCTCGTAAAGCCACGTTGGCGCACCCCGAGCTGCCCGTGGTCACACGCTGCCACAGTTACGACATCAAATACAAGTTTCAGTACCAGTGCACCCGCTGCCAGAACACGTGAGCTGAACTGCTGGTTTTTAATACGGACTACATTCAGTGCTCTTCACTGTCATGCGAGTCCCTTTGTCTCCACAGGATCGGCCGTCATTCCAAGTCACTGGACACTCAGAAGTTCGTGTGCGCTCTCTGCACGGGTCAGCTGGTCCTGTTGACGCCCTCCAAGCCGCGCGCTCCCACGCCTTTCGCCAACTTTGTCAAACAGAATTATGGCAGCGCACGGCAGGAGCTAGCAGGGCAGAGCCACGCCGACGTGATGCGAAAGCTGAGCGCAGACTTTGCCTCGAAGACCAAACTGAGCTGAAAGCTGAGCCCTGACGTGACCGCAAACCTCAGAAACACCTCATTCAACAAGTTCTGAGCTGATGAATTCGACTTTTTGTCTTTTTCTGCCTTCAGCCGTGAAAGCTAAAGCTCGGCAGCTAGTTTGTGTCCGTGAATATGTTTGTGATTTGATTCTTATGAATTTAGCTTCATACTTAAAAAGTAAAGCTTAAAAAAATATATTATTTTTTTTAATGCATGTTTGCTGTTCTATGTCATATAAGCTTCGCCCTTTAAGGCCTTCGCTTTAGTGGGTTTATCCCGTTATGCAGAGCATAAGCACTGAAAAAAATTAGTCCACGCCCACCTGCTGTGTGGGCCCTACCCGGTCCGTATAAATTACGTTAAGAGCGGGAAATCGGCTCCCATTTTTTCTTCAGCGAGCTAATATAGCACTGTCAGAAGAACAAAGAAGATAAGTTGTGTAAATGACCAACCTTGTGAAGGATGCTGGGCCCGGCAGTCGACCTCCGGTCGTCCGGTGAGTTCTCCTCCCCGAGGAGAAGATGACAGCAGTCTTATTCCAAGGTAAGCGTCGTGGAACATTTCCCAGTGACAGGTCACTACACGCTGGACAACGCCATCTTGTGTTTTTTCCTCTTATCGCCGACCCTCGGGGCGAACCGGATGGTTCCTCCGGGGCAAGGTGTGCTCAGCTGCAGCCCCCGCTGCTCATTCCCTCCCGGGGAGCGTAGTGTAGGTGGAGGGGGGCTGAGTGAATGCTCACCCCATCCCACCTCGTTTTCGCATCGGCGATCACACCGCTCCCGGCCGACAGCGCCCTCAGGGGTTGCCCGGCGGAACCCGGGAGGAGGCTGACATGAAGGGACCCCCTTTTTCTACGTCCCTCGCCTTTTCCCGCCAGTTCGGATGATCGGCGGAAAGGTTATTTTTCACTGACGTGTTTTTCCAGGCAGCCGCAGTTAGCAACAACGTGCGCTGCTAGCATATAGCATGTCCAAGGGACTGAAGGCCGCAGACCTGCCTTGGAGACAAAGAACTCCTTCTGTAAGGCAACTGACGCTATTCCTCGGTTCCCTCCCCTGGAGCCAAGCCTCGCGGAAGCTTCCGGAGCGAAGCTGTCCAGGTCGGAGCAGCGTCCCGTCCCTCCGGAGGAACCAGACGGCGACCAAAGCTCTCCAATCGAGCCCACCGACGTGTTTTCAGGCAACCGCAGTTAGCAACAACATGCGCTGCTAGCATTTAGCATGTCGAAAAGGCTGAGACCTCAGACCTGCCGGAGGAGACTAAGAGCTCCCTGTGTAGATCGGCAGACGCCATCCTCAACATGTGCGCCGCTCCCTCGGGTTGCCTGTCGAGGATTGTAGCATGGATGACGGTAATCCAACGTTCCATCTGGCTCCGTCACTCTCCATTGCTGCCGGAAAAGCTGCACAAAGACCGGATGGAGGGCCCCATCTCATCGGACGCGCTGTTCGGAAGCAGCTTGACGTCCATGCTGACGAATTCGAAGCAGTCGGAGGAGACGTCGGAAGCTGTACGCCATCTCATCTAGCCGCGCGGCTCATTCCGTCCTCCAGCCCGCTGGAGAGATCGTCAAAAGCAGAGGCAGAGACATCGACGCTCCACGGCAGCAGCAGCTTCGTCTCGCCCAGCTCCACCACCAGCCCCGCCCGCCAGAGACCACCCCTCCTCAGTCCGGCAGCCTGCACTTCAGCGTTTTCCCCAGAGATCGCCTGCAGACGGCGCTCGGAGCAAACAAACCGCAGAGCTCACGGGGGAGAAGTTTTAAGAAATGACGGTCTGCGGAGGATGTGTGTATAAATGACACAGGAATTGAATAAATGATTTTTCAAAGATCAAAACGCCTGTTTTTAGCCAGTCTGTAAGCTCGGATGAGCTCACAGCCGCTACACACACACCCTCCACTCATAAAGAGCCGGTGTCCTTAAATAAAGGTTTTTTTAAATCCACCGCCGCTCCCTCACATGCCCAGACGCTCACGTGACACCACGGTAAGCGAAATAACTTGTTGTCAATCAGGCCCGCACGATCACCTCCCAACGGTGTTTACGCGCTCCCGAGCGAGACAAGCAGCCTCCATCCAACGGCACTGTGTCGATGATGCACGCACAGCTGCCCGGCGCTCACCGGCCCACATCGGGATAAATGTGGGACCGCAGGCCGGGTCCGGTGGAGGTCCCTGCTCTCAGCGAAAACAACACACGCCTCTCCTGTATGAACGCGAGTGGCCGTCATCCACCGCGTCCCAGCGATCAGCAGCTCACGGCGGCATAAGCGTGAGACAGCTGAATGAATCCAATGACGGGCCCCGCCCTCAGCGAGAGCGGCGCGCGTCCCTCCAGAGGAAACGTGCGCTCCCGCGAGGCTCACAACCTTCACTTCATCAGCTGACACACGCCTCGCCTCAGCACACACCGCCCCGCCCGGACATGAAGGTTGGTCCGCGATCCAGTCACAGCGCGCGGGCGCGCGCAGAACAGCCCTTTCGAGAAAGCCTCGCCTTGGGTCACGCGGAAAACATTTCCGCGACGCATGACGGCGGTCGAGGCGGAGGTTTGGATGACATCCGTTCAAAACACGGCACATCATTTAAACGCACGTCCACTCCACGAACGTCACGCAGAGTGGTTAAAAACATGCTCACCGGACAGATGGAGGGACAGAGTGTTATGCAAGGGTTACACGCTGCAGTTTGCAACCCGACCCCCTCCGTTCGGAGGAGTTATAGAGACGGTCCTGTCATCACCAGACCAAGTCTCAGCCTTAAATGCAGAAATCCAAGAGCTTCTGATAAAAGGTGTAATCTCAAGAGTTCCCAACGAGGAGGAAAACACAGGGTTTTACTCAAGCTACTTCCTGGTCCCCGAAAGGACCGGAGGGATGAGACCGATTCTGGATCTGTCAGCTTTCATCAAAGCGATCATGAACAGATTTTTTCACATGTTGATGAACAGACAGCTGTTGGACAACATCCAGGAAAACGACTGGTTTGTCTCCATCGTTTTAAAAGATGCCTATTTTCACACACCAATCATCCCAAAACACAGAAAATTTCTGCGTTTCGCCTTTCAAGGGATGAAGTACCAGTACAACAGGTTGCCTTTTTTGGGTACTCCCTCGCGCCTCGTACGTTCTCAAGTGTGTGGAGACAGCCCTGCATCCACTGCACAAGCAGGGATGAGGGTTTTGTTTTTACCTGGACGACCTGCTGCCCCTGTCTCACTCCAGACAGGAAGCATTGATACAGGCTCAGGTGTTAGCATCACACCTGCTAAATCTGGTTTTCGCCATAACTGGAAGAAAAGCTCGATTTTCCCGGCCCAGATAATTGTTATCTGGGAGTGGAATTAAACTCAATTACCATGACGGCTCGTTTATCACAAACAAGAATCGACACTCTAAAAACCAATTACGCCACGTAAGACCTGGCAAAGTGGTAACAGCTGTCTCCGTCATGAAGCTGTTGGGAATGACGTCATCAGCTCACACAGTGGTCCCGCTGGGTTTGTTACACATGAGGCGCCTCCAGAGGTGGTTTACGCGTCTGCGTGTGGATCCAGTAAAACAAAAGAGACGGATGATCACTGTCCCTCCCTCCATGGGAGCAGACCTCCGACACTGGGGAAACACCCTGGCTCTGTCAGAGGGAGTCCCCGTCAGCAGATCCACGTCACGTGTCAGTCTTCACGGACGCGTCTCTGTCAGGTTGGGGTGGGGAACATGCCTATCTCAAGCAGTAGGGGCGCTGTGGCCCCACCGCACATCAGCCCACATCAATGTTTTGGAGTGTCGCACAGTGCTGAATGTGATTCAACTTTTTGCTCCCGTGCTACAGAATCAACACGTGTTGATTCACACAGACAACATGGTGACTGCTGCGTACATAAACCGCCAGGGGGGTGTGCGTTCAGCCCAGATGTTACACATTGCGCGGAAGCTACTGAGTTGGGTTCATCAAACCTGCTTTTATTAGAGCAGTTTACATATCCGATGTTCTGAACAGAGGGGCTGATGTGACGTCCAAGGGCGGCCCACGTTATGTGGACCGGATCCTCCATCCGGATCTGATGTTTTTCAGACGCAGCAGAAGTTGGCAAAGCAGCTGTGGACCTGTTTGCGATGCGAGAAGAACGCTCAATGTCAACTACGGTTTTCCCTGAGCCCGCGAGACGATCCATCGCTGGGGGGGGACGCATTTGCTCACAGTCGGTGGCCCAAAACGCTTTTTACGCGTTTCTTTCCCCCCCACCTCCTCTGTTTTTTACGGTCCATGAACCGAGTTCAAGAGGAGGGATTGACAGCCCTCCTTGGTGGCTCCCGGCGTGTGAACGCACTATGGTTCCCAGGCCTGCAACGTCTGTTGTTGGGTCGCCGTGGAACTGTCATGGAGGAAGGATGCTCTCCTTCAGGCAGGAGGAGCGACCAAGAGTTACCCAGAAATAGGTCAACACCGGTGGGTCTGACCGCTGAGCGGTTCCACTTAGAGGATGGGTCTCCCTCAGGAGATAGTGTGCACAATTCAAGATTCACGTGCTGCATCTACCACAGTTCTGTACACATCAAGGGGACGGCTTTTCAGCGCTGGTGCACAGAGAAGGTTTAGAGACCACCTCATGCCTTTTAAGCGGCGTGTTGTTTTTCTACAACAGCTGATGGATAGGGAGTTGGCTTTCAGTACGCTTTAACGTACGATTGCAGCCATCTCTTCCTGCCACAAAGGGTTTGGAGTCAGAACAGCTTTTATCACCCGCTGATGAAGCGGTTTCTAAAAGGTGTACAGAGATGTAGGCCTGTTTTCACGCCCACTTGTTTTCCACAGTGGGTTTAACGCTGGTCCTGCGAGCCCTGATCAAAGCTTCAATTGAGCCTCTGGATCAGGTTTCATTTAAATTCTTGTCTCTTTTAACAGCCCTGTTGCTGGTTTTAACACCCGCTAAGAGGGTAAGTATTTATCTGCCCTCTCTGTTGCTTCGTCATGCCTTAGAATTAGGCTGA